AGAAGAATTGCTGTTGCAGTAATTGCTGGCTTTTTGCTGCCCCAGCAAGGGCTGTCTGAGGCTGGGCTCTTGTGCTGCCCACGCTCTCGGGTGGGAGGCAGGTGGGCTCCCCGTGGATGCAGACTGAGCTGGCTCTAATTTGATTCCCAGAGCTGCTCTTGTGCTTGCATGTGGCCTCAGCTGTTCCCTTAAGGGGACACAGCTGGCACGGATGGTTCTGGAGCCAGTGCACACCCTCTGAGCTCTCAGGTAAAGGCACAGTGGGGTCAGGAAGGGCTCAGCAGAGAATGGAAGGGGCTGGCTGGGGTTCAGGACTGAGCTATTGTCTCAGTGACCCTCCTGCTGCAGCCTTGTATCCTCTGGGGTGTGGAATTGCCTTGGAAAAACAGAAGAAAGCCCAGGCTTTAAGACTCTCCTATCTTGTGCTTGGTATTCATGCTGTGGAGCTGCATTTCAGAGAGTGGCACAAGCAGTGCCTCGCTCTTGCCTCGCTCCTCAGCAGCTTTTGCAGCATGCTTGTGGCCATTCTGAWCAGCTGGAACCATCCTGATGCTCATGCTGGCAGCTGATGCCTCTCTGCCAGAGGAGTGAGCAGCCAAAGCAGCACATCCATGCTCACATTTGCTGAGGCTGAAGCTGAGGAGGGAAGGCTCTCCTTCCCCTCTTTTGCATGTTCTGGTACCTGGTGGGCAGTTCTGCATTTTCTGCCAATTACTTGGGCTTGTCTCAGAGGAGCAGTACTGGTGAGCCAGCCCTTCCAGTAGAACTACAGGCATGGCAGCACTGCATGAAGGTCCCAGGGTGCTCCCTGGCCTCTGGGTGGGACAATCCTCCCTGGAACATCACTGTCCTGGCCCTGCCATGTTGGGCAGTAATGCCAGACTGTGGTGCACTGGGCTATTCTGGTGTGCTGTTTCCTGCCCATGTCTCCCCCCTCCCCCTGCCTGCTCTCTCCTGCATCAGCCTGCATTTGTAAAATGAAATAAATATTGACATGGACGGGATGCTATTCAATTTGTCCTGATCACTGGGCTGCGGTGAGTTCTGACAGAGCACAGTGTAAAACATAAGCTCAGGATGTAATTTCTACTGTCAACATGATGTACAGTATAGCTGTGCCAAATGCACACCACCAAACTGCACAAGCTCTTGTGGGGAGGGGAGGGGGGAGTTGTGCTGATAATTGGGAAGCAGGGATGGCAGAGCAGCAGGAGAGGGGACATCACCCTGGCCCTGGGGCGGTGTGAGGGTCTGGTGCTTCACTCTGTGCATGGAAAACCTGCATGGCGTGGTGAGTGCTGGGCAGACTGCCATGTGGGTGCATGTGTGCTGCTGTGGGCTGGGCTGGCTGCAGCAGCAGCTCCCACTGGTTATTTACAGCCCCGCTGCTCACGTGTGGCACAGAGAAGTGGCATTTCCAGCTGTTTGTGAAAGGTTTTCAATAACACAGGGAAATAAATATTGTGCTAGTCGTGGTTCCTTCTGGAACCTTCTGGGGTGCCTTGGTTGCTGCTGCAAGGGCACAAGCAGGACTTGGGACTCTTGGCTTCGCTGCCTCTGGGAAGGGTCTGTGGTGTGACAGCTGGAAAGGAGGGTGTGCACACTGAGAAGAGGTGTGACCCTGAAACTGTCACACAAGAGACACCGGCTGAGAATTTGTCACTGGAGGAGAAGGATCTGGTTTGTGGCAATGAGCCTGGCTACAGATGTGTCTCTGTGTCAGTGTTTTGTGGTGGCTCAGGGTGCAGGGGGCTGGAGGTCACCACAGATTCTCTGGGACCTGGATGAGGCAAATCGGGTTGCAGCACCTGCATTGCTGCCCACAGGAAGAGCAGGCAAACAGCTCAGCTGAGAGTAGCTGAACTTTGGATATATATATACAGCCACCAGCAAACCACATCAGCTCAGATGAGAAATCTGTTAAATGTAAAAAACAGCATAATAGCCGAGGCTCTATACAAAAGGTTGTGTTTCCCACAGCAACGCAGCCCAGCCCATGGGTGCTCAGCAGGACTCTCCTCTCTGTGGCAGAATCTGCTCTGTGGAGATGCAACAGGGCTGAACAAGTTGCCTTGGGAACTGTGGGCCAGCTTGTCTGCCAGCCAGGGAGCAGCTCTGCTCAAGTGGAGCTCGCCCACTGCAGCATCTTCTGCCCTCACTTCCTCTTTTCTGCCTTGCCTTAGTGTGTGCATTTAAACGGTTATTCTTACTGCTTTATTGGTGCTGTTTGGGATTGTGCTGCTTCCATTGATGTGCTGTAACTCGGGTCAGGCTGAAGAGAAGGCCCAGTGTCCATTTCTGACCAAGGAGCAGTGCCATTCCGGTGTGCACAGGGCTGCCTGCACTGTGTCACTGGGGTGGTTGTGTCCTGGAGGAAATCAGCTGCCTCTAAGGTGTGAAAGGGTGCAGTGAGAGGAACAAAGGTGGCTCCTACTGCCGTCACAGAGCCAGTGTTGGTGCTTTCTGCCAGCTGTGTGCCCTGAATGCTGCATGCTCAAGGCAGTGGGAATGTGCTGCCTTCGTGTGCCAGCTCGGTCGGGGACCCTGGATTCTGACGTTCATTGTGGTGCCAGGACTTGCTCCATTGGACTGGCTTTCTTTCAGCCTCCCCATGTGTTCAGAAGGCCTTCAGTTTTACAGAACTGCTCCCTGGCACTGGTATTGCTGCCTTGTCAGGCTTCTGACAGGGTTTTATAAATAAGTGTGGATGGATGTGCTCCTGGACGGCAAGGAGAGGATGCTGGGTGGGCAGAGAACAGACTTCAGCCAATGGTGGCTGCTCCTCCCCAAGGCTCTGCTGACATAGATGTCCTGAGAACACATGCAAATCAAGTCTTTGTTAAATTCTCTTTCTGGCAGTTGAGTTTACTGTGTACAGCTCATTTGTACTCAGACTTTGGATGTAACTGGAGGTGTTGCCTGCAAAAGTGCTGCAGAGTAGCAGGGCAGAGATGCTGGATAAGGTGTTCCTCCCACACCTACTGCTTGCCTTTGCTGCTGACCTGAAATTTGCTCTGGCACAGCTTGTGCTGTACAGTTTATTGGCATCTCTCACTATCTGAGTAACTTTACTCCAAAATAACCACAGATTTCCTAGGTGTGAGAACGTGGAGAGGTGTTTGCGGCAGTGTTGTACTATGTCTTGTATTTATCTGCTGTATGCCCACGTAACCGTGATAAAGCATGGATGCACATGCGCTGTTCTTGTGAGTGTCTTGCTSCCGAGGCTGCTGTGGGTCAGGCAGCTTTGGCTCCATTGCTCCTGAGCAGGGACCCTGATCTCTCATTTGATCCATTAAGTTGCTTTACTTTATGAGTGGGAGGAGACTGCCCCGTCCATCACCCCCCTACAGGTCATGTCATTCCCCCGAGTCTCCAGTGTTAAATGCTCTGTGTTTGACAGGGATCCTCAGCAGCTGTGCAGCTGCACTTTGGGAGCAGGGGCAGGAAGAAATTCTGTGTGGGGAAGCCCAGCTGCAGGACACAGTCGTGGTATTACCAGCAACCTCACCTGGCAGGTGTGGAAATGTCTTCATAACAAAGAGACTGGCAGGAGGAGAGGTGGGGAGGAATGTTAGTGCTTCTGTACCATGATTGCTAACATAAAAAATACACTGGAGACCCTGTCTTCCTTGGAGCATGAAGTGCACAGGGCTGGCACATGTGACAGCTGATGTGCACGTGTGAGGGGGATTTAGCATGTGTGCATGGGGAGGAAATGTGTGTGCACTGAAATGAGGCACAAACAGACAAAAGAGGCCAGTGTGCATGAATGATTTTAGCTGTGCATGGGGAGGGATGTGTGTGAGCCCTTCTGGTGAGTAGATCTGTGCTCGTTGTGTGACACACAACTTGTGAGCCATGCACAGGCAGTGCAGGATGATGCCTCGTGGTTCTCAGAGAGGCGCTTGTCCAGGCAAGCGGATGCAGAAATGACAGCACAGCAGACATCCTCTGTTTGGGAAACAGCCCCACTGGTGGAGTCACACAGGGGATGGCAAGTGAGGGAAAGAGCTGGAGAAATACGTGGGAGCTGTTCTTCCTCTGAACAGCTGAGGCTGTTTAGATTCATGCAAAGATCTGTGCATAGCACAGTCCAGTTCCCTTTTTATGGGGGGTGGATGGACATCTAGCCCAGGATCATTTCCCTTTCCATTCACCCTCTATCCCCCTCCTGTTTAGAGTAACAGCTGACAGGAGATGAATTCTGCAGACTGGTGCATGTTTCATGAGTAGATCAGGCTGTGGCTGGTATCGCAGAGCTCTGGTGGAAGCTCAGGGCGTTGGTGCAGGGAGAGATGGATGCTGCATCCCCATTTCCTTACCTGGCCTCTTCTCCCCAGATGCTCGCTGGATCCAATGTACCCTTGGCTAAAGGTCTCATGTGCCCTTAGCTCCTTGAGAGTGGCTTGAAGCTTTCACCAGAGCCCTTTTGCAAACTGTTACCTTTACAGTCAGCCAGGTGGTGAATTCTTGAACAGATGCTTTTCTCCTGTCCGTGGCTGCAGAGGTGAGGCGAATTAAAGGTTCTGCAGGGAAGGCTTGCAGGAGCATCAGGACAGGCTGCTCAGGGGCTGGCAACCCCCAGTGTGAGCCTTGTCTGCCTGTGCAGGACTGCTCTTGTCTGGTCCTGTGCTGGCATCGGCAGCTGGGCAGTGCCAGGAGTGCTGCTACACATCCCTGACAGTGTGGGCACCAATGACCCCCTTCAGGCGCAGACCTCACTCCCTTCAGCAGCCAGGACTGCGGGGTGAGGGGCTGCCCTTGTCAGCAGGATCCCTGGTCTCAGAGTCCCTGCTGGAGCAGATGTCTGCAGTGCTGAGAGCTCTGCAGCCCTCCCTTACTCTGTTTCTGCTCTGGCAGGACCTGCGGGGCTTGGCTCTGCTGTGGAGCACCTGGGGTGGGGCAGGGAGGGAGATATCTACCGAGGCTGCAGGAGCAGCACAGGGGGACTTTGGGCGCTGTTTCCACTCCAGCTCTGACACCTTGGCCTTTTCCAGGCTCCTGGAGATGCTGCTGACTGCCCTGCACCTCCCTGCGTGAGCCAGCAGAGAATGGAAGTGACCAGAATCAGCCGGGCAAAGGACTCTCCACCGAGCACTGCGATGTCATCCCCCTGAAGATGGGAGTTACAAATGGCCCTGTGAACTGCACGTGTGGCACCTGCACTGCCAGACCCCTCTCACAGTAGCCCGAGGCTGCCGCAGGACAGGCAGACATTGGCCACAGCAGCTCATATCCTGTGAACTCGTCTGTGAAAACATCCTTGGGAAAGCTTCTTTCTCCTTCAGTGCATGCTGCTGGCGGGTGCCTGTGCCCCGTGTGCCACAGCAGCGTTCCCTGCCCGTCACTGGGGTGGGTATCAGGCTGTGCACCCTCCCTGCCCCAGCCAGACCTGCGGCAGTGGAGCACGGAGCCGTGCAGCTCTGTCCCCGGGGACAAATGCCAGCTGCCAGACTCTGCTCTGGAGACCCAGGAGCAGCCTGTGAGGCACCAGCACTGACTGCTCCCACGGCAGCAGCAGGCGGTCCGGGACACCTCTTRTCAAAGATGTGACTGGTGCTGGGACAGTTCTCCAGCCGGGGGCACGGCATGCGGCAGGGACGGCCATGCTCTGCGTTCACCGGGCAGCCTCCCGCTGCTAGCCTGGACTTTCCTCCTGCTCTTCCCTAAAGGATGCTGGCTGCCTGTCCAAAAGCTCCTGCTGATGCAGCCTGCTAGAGTGCCATGGCGAAGGGTCTGCAGGGCTTGTCGTGGACCATGCTGCTGCTGTTGTGCGCCATCCAGGAGCTGGGGTCCTGGGCCATGCACACGGCGGTGGAGGGCCCTGGCCTGGGGCAGCCCGGGGACCCTGCGCTGCTGGCCGGCGGGCGAGTGAAGCGTGGCTGGGTGTGGAATCAGTTCTTTGTGGTGGAGGAGTACACGGGCACGGAGCCGCTCTATGTGGGGAAGGTAAGCTGACCTGGTGTGTCTGTGGGGTGGGGTGGGTGTGATGGCAGTGCTGAGCAAAGAGGGCTCATGTGAAGGTGCTCACGGGCTACAGAAATACTCTGTGGGCTGTGAGGGCAGGAGCCTGCTCCCTGCTGGGGTGGTGAGGTTAATGTGCTCCCAGAGACAAGAACAGGACACCTTACAGTCACATACTGGGTTTTTGCGATGTCTGGGGATGGACCCTGTCCCTGTGGGAGCTGCTGCCAGGTGACAGTGCTTTGCTGGGCAGGACTRGGTCAGTAGCTCGAGYTCACCACACTTCCCTGGTGTGTGAYCTCCTGGGAAGAYTGGACAGGGACCTCTGCTCCCCCCACTCCTGGAGGATACCCTGAGACTGAAGGAACATTTCACCTTGGGTTTGCTGGGCTTTATCCTTTTCTGGGAGCCGTGAAGAAGCTGCTGTCCCACGTGTTGGGAAGATGTGTTACCTGTACATGGGTGAAGGTGGTGCTGGTTGTTGGGACCAGTCAGAGGAACACACTACAATTCAGTTAGAGCTGGAGGCACAGGCTCACCCTGAAGGAAAGTGCCCAAGAGCTTGTACAGCAGGGCTGTCTGATGGCCTCAGCCGTCTGGGCATGAGTCTGGAGGAGCTTGAAAATGGGTTTCTTGGCTGGGGGCCAGCGGGGATTTCAGCGGTGATTTGTGTCCGTTTCAGCAGACACTCAAAGCCGCGCTCCTCCGCCGCCCTCGGAGCAGGCACAGCTAATTCACGGCTCCCCTGGGAGAAGCCGAGGCACCGGGCCCTGCCACAGGCCTGGCAGTGCCTCCAAATGGCTCCAAATGAACCGAAACCTACAACTCACCCATTTTACAGCCCCTTTCTGCGTCACCACCACATCACCTGCCTGGCTCCCAGCAGCCAGCCTGCACTGACATCACTGCCTGTGGATCCCAGGGCTGAAAACCAGCAAAGCCAGGCTTCTCCTGGGGCTGGGAGAGGATGGAGGGYTTGCCTGGGATGCTGTTGGTCCCCAGCAGTGTGCCAGCTCTCCTGGCATAGTCTGTGGGTCCACAGCCCTCCTGCACTGGGGGATCCTGCCCAGTAGCTGGGGCTTGCCCTGTGTGGATGCCTCTCACACACCTACATGTGCTTGCTGAAGGGCCGATACCATTTCCATAAAATCTGGGTTCTCTAGCTAATCCTTCTTCTGAACTGTAATTTCCCCTGAGGCTGCTGTCAGTTTGATGTGGATTTCTTTGGGTTTTTTAAATAGAATTATGGGGTCAGCACTAGTTACAAACTTCTGCATGTGGACAGATCTATTTTAGATAGAGGAGAGGATTAAAGGAAAAAAAGCAGATTTAATTAAGTTGCTAATATTTAAAGAAAATTGATGAACTCGGGCTTTATGAGTTGGAGCAAACAGAGTGCGCCTTTATTACGGGCTAGTTTTTATTTGATTTTCTTTCTTTTCTAGCCYGGGAGTCATTTTTTATTTGTGTATCTGTGCTTTCTGTTTAATTGCTTTTAATAAGGAATGTGCACCTCTGTTCATATTTAATTTTGATTTAATTATTAGTATGTAATTAATGGCTTCGTAAGAATTCTGGTTGTAGTCTTTTAGGACAAGGAAACTATCTTCCTGTTTAACAAATGGGATGGATCAGCCTTTTGTCCTCCCTCTGGATGTCCCARTTCTGCAGAAACTGCCATCCTTGCTTGGGGGCTGAGCTGCAGGCAGGACGGGGTGGTCTCTCTGTTCTTGGAGACCAGTGTGTGCCAGGGCTGTGTGACTTCACTCTCCAGCCATGCCCAGGGCTGGTGCATCCCTGAGGCCGTGTGGGAGTACGGTGTTCCCCAAACCTGCCTGCTCTAACAGGGAGGAGAGAACATCCCTGGATGTGGTCCGRGCCCGTGGCATCTCCCCTCGGGTTTCTGTAGTCTGCCATTCGGCCCTCCCCCATTAGTTGTTGTTTAGCCAAGCAGCACAGATTTAGCTCTTTTAATCTTCCCCTGTAAATCAATCTCTGCAGCCCCTTGAGCCCCGGCTCCATTTTTCTTCCTAGCGTTCCGGCTTGCAGGGATGCTGGTGTCTGCTCCAAGCAGTCAGCGATGAGCAAATATGTGAGGAGGATGTGCTGAGAGCTCAATGTGGTGCTGGATGTTTTATCTCTGGTCTAATTATTAATCATGAGCCTGGTGTTCAGCAGAAAAATGCAGGTTTCTGTTACCTGCGCTGTACAGAGCCGGTGCTCCTTGTTCATTCTGAAAAGCTCATGGGTAGCAGCAAGAGCTGGGGAGAGGATGATAATGTGAAGAGAGGGCAGCAAGCACTCCAGCAGCCAGTGGGGAGGGTTGGGACTGGATGGCTGGGCTGGGCTGACCATTCCCACAGACCGGGCAGAATGCTGTGGGTGGCCAGGGCGGGATGACCACCCCATAGGCACATCCCAAGAGCAGATTTGCAGCCAAACCCATCACTGTGATCCCAAACACTGCTGGGCTCACAGCCCTATTTGTGAGCTGAGTGAAGGTCTCCTTCCAGGCAAGCCTTGGGAGATGTGTCACCATGGGCAGTAATTTGTGAATGTTGTGCAAAATGCGTTGAATTGTCTAATGTGTGGGTCCTCACTCATGAAATAAATACATAAACTGTATCTAACAAGACAAATATAATGAAGGCATCGTAAAAAAAGAGGCAGCTCTGGTATAAATTCTTGCTGGTAGAGCTGTATGTCTGAAAGGTGGATTATAGAACTGCAGTTTGGAAGATTGAATGGCCCATAAACATTTTCATATTTCATTAGCCGATTAATGGACGGCTTTTTTCTTTTTTYGGAGGGGGGACATGACTTTGCTGATTCTAAGCAGAAATTGTAGGAAACAAATGAAAGCAGCTGATGAAACCTTTCCGGGGGCCTGTCCTGTTATGGATTGTCCCAATTAATGCCCATGCTGCTCTCTGTCAAGATGCATTCTGCCTGTCCAGTTACTGTTAATAGATTTCTCATAAGTGGCTGGATTGTAAAAACCTCATAACTCAGTTTAATGCCACCAATAAAATTATCTCTGGACGTCTGGCCTGGATTCCAGTCAGCTCTTGGTCCATGGGGAGCTGCTGTTTACCCTTTCTTTTCCTAATTCCAAACATTGTCTTAATTAAAAAATTAAGCAGCAGAGATTGCCTGCTAAGGCATCTTCCTCAGGGTSTGTTTTTAGTCCTGAACATGAGTTAATTTGTCACATTCTCTTGCAGATTTTGTCCAGGTGGAGCTCTGGGCATGATGATGGGATGTTGTGACCCCTTTTTACCCTGCCATGTAAACACAGCACAGGGGTGCACTGAGTGTATGAGCTCTTCAGCAGGGAGACTTGTCAGCACCAGCTGCCCAGGTCAYGGAGGGTGCCTCTGGCTGAGGCAAAACGGGTGGATGAGGATGGACTTAGAGCAATTGGTTGGGTAGAGGAGGATGGGTTCTGATGGTGAGGTACCTGTGCAGCTTGGGAGAGGTTATCCCRTGCTGCCAGAGTCCTGGGTCCTTGCCCACAGGGGAGCTTCTCTCATTGTAGTGCAATTGAGTTGTCCTTCCCTTTTCCCTTATCTCCTAACCCCTTACCGATGGGGTTTGTCCCTTGGTTTGTAGTGGGGATGGGCACTGGCACAATTTGTGATCTGCAGAGCCGTAAAGGCAGACCTGAAGCTCTCATTCACTGGGCCTTCTGTGCACAGGAGCTGTCTGGTGGTGCTCTCTGTCACTCTCCAGTCCACCGGGAGCAGAGGGAGCAGAGGGGCATCACGCAGGGACCRTGGGCATCTTGTGCAGGTGCCTGGGGTTGGGTATGAGCACAGCCCCATCCTGCTCCCACCCTCTCCCTCTTTCCCTGGCAGATCCACTCGGACTCAGATGAAGGAGACGGCTCCATCAAGTACACCATCTCCGGGGAGGGCGCAGGGACCATCTTCCTCATCGATGAGATCACGGGTGACATCCACGCCACCGAGCGCCTGGACCGGGAGCAGAAAACCTTCTACACTCTGCGGGCACAGGCCCGCGACCGGCAGACAGACCAGCTGCTGGAGCCCGAGTCAGAATTCATCATCAAAGTGCAGGACATCAACGACAGCGAGCCACGCTTCCTGGAGGGGCCCTACATCGGCAGCGTGGCGGAGCTGTCCCCCATCGGTACGTCTGCTCGGGGGGAGGACGTGGGCTGGCAAAAATCCTGCACCTCTCTCCCGTCAAGCCTTGAGCCTGCTGTACCCCACAAAAATCACTTGCAAATCCCAGGGATTCCGGAGCTGGGGAGCCAAAAGGGAAAAATAAATAAGGTGGCTTAAGAAAAACAAGTGGATAAATCCTCTGAGCTGATTGCCAGCCTTTGGCTGAGCGCTCAGTCTCAGCCCTAAGCCGTGCTCTGGGGACGGGTCGTGGTGGTGCCAGCTGCCCGCTGTGCATTGACTCTGGCTTTGCACAGCCCCCTCCCTCCTAAATGCTGGGGGCTGACTAAGCCCTCGCGAGCCAAGGGGCTCATGTGTGCCTGTGGTTCAGATTGGTCTGGGTGGTGCTTCCCCCCCAACTCGGGCCATCCTCTGTGTGCTGCTTTGCTGCTCTTCTGAGCCCCAGGTCTGTCCAGCCATCATCCCTTTGTGTGTCCCCATGCAGAACAGCTGGGCTCTTCTCAGCTGGATCCGTCCTTCTCTGAGGGGTCTGGCCTTGCTGGCTGAGATTRAGGAATTCGTGTCTTTGTGACAGAACCGTGGCTTCCTTGTGTTAGTTTTAATTGTGGTTAACCTGACTGCAGCTCTGAGGGGCAGGCTGGGATGGTGTGGCTGCACAAGTCCATCCCCCTGGGATAGCAGAGCGGGACAGTCACCTTTGTGCTCACCCAAGCATGGGAAGCATGCATGGAGGTGATGTGTGAGCTGCTGCACTGCTGCTCTCACTCCTGCTGCTGGGTTCTGTGCTGCTGAGCACAGCTGGAGTGCAGGAGAGTGGCTGGTGCTGCGCTGCCCAGAGCCACACCATTCCCTGTCCACACTGGGCACTCTGCTACCCCCATAGCAGGCTGTGTATGTCAGCATGTGCTGCGAGCAGGAACTGTTCCCAAATCACTGCTCCCAAAGGCTATATCTAGGTAGAAGACAGCTTGTGAAAGGCATAGGAGTGTCCGTGAAGGATGAGTTGGCACAGGGGACAGTAACAGTGCAGATAGCCCCAGGATGAGGGGAGCAGCTGAGCTGCACTGGGGCTCGGCAGGCCAGGCCAGGTGAAGCACCCAGTCCTGCTGTGCTGCTCAGGAAGCTCTGGCTGCAGAGGCATCCTGACAGCAGAGAGCAGAGGAATGTGCTCGGCTCTGCACTGCCTCGGGACAGAGCTCCGGCTCTCCGTGGATAATGTGCAGCATATTGCAAGGCTGGTGCGTGGCCTCCAGCAGGTACAGATGTACAGGAATTGCCTGCACCAGAGGAGCTGCTGCTGTCGTCTGGATTCTGTTGATGTATGGAGAACGAGTTCTCCTGAGGCATCCCGAGCCCTCCTTCCGCTTCCAGTTACCTGCGCAAATCCTTCCCTCAGTCWGAGAGTGACCCCTTGAACTATAGCTCTGTGCTCCTGGAGAAATGAAAGACAGCATGTGGGCACCAAAGCAAGAGGCATCCTGTTCCCAAAGGGAAGAAAGAAATTAAATTAATCTAATTTGCTTGAACAACATTTTAAAAAGCAAGGAATTCTCAACTCTGAGTATTAGACAAGGATCCCAGTTCTTTGAAAATCACTAACAATTATGGAGCTGCCTGATCAGACTGATGTGAACAAGACATATCAAAGGAGACAGTTTCTATGCGAAATTGGAGATCAGAGGGAGAAAGAAACACGGTTTCACAACATGAAAGAAGGCGATTCCTGCAAATTAAAATACTTGGAAGTTAAAAGTAAAGAGAAGTGCTGTGAACGGCGTGGGCTGCATTTCCCAGCTGTGTGCTTAGAGAGGGGAGCTGGAGCCAAGAGCCTGTTCTGCTTTCCAGGCTGCTTGCCTGCCACAGCCTCGGAGCCTTCTGCAGCCTGGCCATCCTGGGGAGTGTACAGCTTTTTCCAGAGCAGCCTTGCCCTGGAGATGGCCCAGGGAGAGCCTCACACATCATCTTGCCTTGGTGCTGCTGCCCGGGCCCCAGCAGTGTGAGCGCAGAGCTGGGGGGACGCACACACTGCTGCTGCACGTCCCCAGCTCCCTCCCACTTCTCCCTCGGCTTACCAGTGCTTTGCCCAGAGCAGGCAGCACCAAGGAAAGGTGGACACATCCTGTGAAAGCATGAATGGCAAGGCTGGCAAAGAGCTTTCTGCTCAGCTCTGCAAGGTTCAGCAGCTGGGAGGGAGATGGGGCTGGTTACAGACCTGGTGAGTGACGTTCAGCAGTAGGTACTGTAGGAAGGGCTGAGGGTGCAGGAGACATGGGAGGCTGCTGGGACAGAGGGATAAGTTCAGGATGTTGTGGGAAATGCCCTGCCAGGCCCTTTTTGTGTGCAAATGCTCCTTTTGTGGCATCAAGGCTGGGTGCAGCTGTGATCATGGCTTTGTCATGGTTGGTACTGGTAGTGATGTTTGCTGTCTCTGAGCTGGGCAGAGCACCTCCCTTAGACCTGGTGGGTATTTTCAGAGAGACTGAATGAGGAGTGTGGCGGGTCTTTGCTGCCTTCCTGAGGGTGGATGGAGTGATCCCAGCTTGGTGCTGCCCAAGCAGGGGTAAGAAGGCTGGAGAGCTTAGGTTGGCTATTAGTGGATCAAGATCAAAGCCTGGGGACCTGCTGGTGAACGTGCCTGCTCTCAGCACCATTTGGATTCTGCTGGGGATGGGACAGGGATGGGGCTGCTCCAAGGGCAGGAGCTGTAGGGAGCTGCTCATTCCCCATCTCTGCTGCTCTGAACCCTCTGCTCTGCATCCCAGCCTGAAAAGTTAAGGGTGACCCCTTCTTCCCCCCTTCCTGCTCCTGCCTTCCCAGACCTCGCTGGGGTTTGTGCTTGGGTGGTTTTTGTTCTCACTCAAGGCAGCTCTCAGCCGCACTCTCCGTTCCCTGCCAAAAGCAGAGTCCCAGCTCCCAGAGGTGGGTGCCTTCCTGGGGCGTGAAGAGGAATAAACCAAATACAGTCAGATCCGCTYGGTGACAGCAGGAGCAGATCAAAGGACATTATTTGCATAATGAAGGAGTACTAATTGGGAGGGAAAGTCATTTGATTTCCGAGTGTCTAAGAGGGAATAACAAATGAGAGAACTGCACAAACTCTCAGAGTGACTGGGAGTGCTCTGCAGCACAGCTGCCCCTTGCTCTGCGCTGGGGCCAGGGCGGTGTGTTTGGGTAGACATCGTACGTGCTGCCTGAGACTGTGAGACTGAGGGTGAGCTGAAGGCCTTTTTGTTCCAGGATCTTGCCTTGACAGTGGTCAGAGTGCATTCTTAGGAAGGAGGAACAGCACACACAKGACATGTGATGCTCCTCTTAGTATTCTCCCAACCAGCATCTGGTTTCAGCTTGGGAATTTCTTCTGCTGTGGGTGGTTTCCAGGGCTTTTATCTAGTATCTGTCTTCCATGAACTCATCTAGACTCACTGTAAGCCTCTGCAAAGGGAAAAGAAAAGGGGGTGCTGTTGTTATATGATGGATCAGAAGGATAAGGCTGCAGTGTGGGATTTGTAAAGGGCAGAGGTGRTGCCTGGAGCTAACACCAGCCCATGAGCCAGGCTGGACAAGTCAGTGGTTTCCACACAGGATATCCTGCACTTGGAGGAAGCACATCCAAAATGGAAGCTGACCCAACAGCTTTATCTGCCTTCCCTTGGAAAACCAGCAATTGGCTTTTTTGTGGAAACCTGACCTGGCCTGGGGCATCAGGAGCAGCAGTGCAGCTGCTGTGGGATGTTTGGCTGCTCTTGGAGTGCAGAGGGGGCAGTTGGACCTGGGGCTGTCAGGGTGGGCAGCCGGGGCTGTAGTGGGGTGGAGATGTCCCTGCTCAGCCCCCTGAGGGATCAGGGCAGGAGCAATGCCCTGGAGTCACCCAGGCTGGGGAAGGCAGGGGCTCCTGAAGTGGTTTGGGAGCATTTTGGGAGTGCCCAGTGCCCACTGCCATGCACGCTGAGGAGCAGTCTGTCTGCAGGATGGGGTCTGAGCTGCAAACTCTGTTTACAGCTCCACTGCTGCTCTTTCACCAGGGAGAGGCTGCTGGCCAAGAGCTTGCAGGCTGCTCTGTGCTGGTACCCGAGCTTCAGCCTCTGGGTACCCAGCATGGGTCACTCCAAAACATCAGAGTTGGGCAGAATCCAGTACCTGCTGGAGAGGGAGAGACCTGCAGCTGCAGAGGAATATAGGATRGGACCCAGCCAACTGCTTTGGAACYRCAGGAGCCTCACCTTGTTACAGGAGATGCTAAAATTAGCTGTATTTTGGGCTTCTTTCCTGAGCTCCCTGGGGTCTGCTTAACAGCTGTCTGCTGCACTCAGGCGTGAGCCCAAATCCAGCACACGGTGCCTCCTCCAAGACAACTCTGTGGGTTGCACAGGGTGGGTGCTGCAGCCCAGAGCTCACTTGTGGGGTGTTTGGGGGGCAGGCAGAGCCTGGGSTGAGGGGCACTCCAGGAAAGGCACATCCTTTCATCAGAACATCACTCCTCCCTCGGTGCATTTCACTCTCATTTCTCTGCGTGTAGCACCATGTCCAGATTAGAGGCGATTTGGCTGTACAGACAGAAACTTGGGGTCAAGCCCTGACTCCAGCACAAAGCTGGCTGAATGCAGAAGTGATTATTGTGAAGACAAATTGTTTAATCTCCATGCTGGAAGCAGAGAAAAGCACTTTGTTTACCATGCAGCCACAACACTTGCAGATTTTTTTTCCTCCCCTTGCAAGAAAGTGTTTAAGTCACTTGTGTGTATCTGGAAGCTGCTGGGACAGCAAGTGGCTGGGAGCTGGGGCTTGTCCTGTCTGATGGTCCTTAGAGAAAAGAGTCCTCCCCCTTCTGCACTGCACTCTGAGTCAAGGGATAGGCTCCAAACACTGCCCTGCCTGAGTGAGCCCCTCATCCAGTCTGTGTTTGGCAGACTCAGGGAGTCTGAGCCCCTTCACGGAGTGCTTTGGTTTGCTCCCCAAGGCACCACGTTCTCCTGGTTCCAGGGGGCTGGGGTGCTTTGCACAGTGGGTTTCTCTGGCCAGACACCCCAAAAGGAGTTTCCCAGTAGCACATTTGAGCGATTGCACCCCTGCCAGGTTATCGCCCTCGGGCTTGTCCTGCGGGGAGTGAGGGCTCTGCAGTGAATCTCCTCTGGGCCTGGCTTTCTACCAAGTCAGAATGTTCTCAAGATTGCAAGAAACTCACTTCTGCTCCAGTAATTTTTAAACTCCTCTAGTTCATTTTTCCCCTGCTGTCCTGCCTGAATGTGTCTGGGGTGCATCAGCCACTGCAGGTGCTTGGGGCCASACAAAAGCTGTAAATTGCATTGTTTATAGAACCCCACCTGTCTCCTGTCCCATGGCACCCATGCCCCTGGGATGGCAGTGCTGCACATGGCATCAGGCCAGAGCACGTGGCTTTGCATGACACAGCACTCCTTGCAGGGTCCCTGATGTCTGCAGGGCTGAAGTGCCCAAGGTGCTGTCCTGGAGCTGGTCACATCCACACAGAAAGGGCTCTCAGCATGGCCAGAGAGTGTCCCYGGGCTCTGCCTGAGCTGAAGGTGGCAACAGAGCCCCAGAGCTGATCTGGAGAGCATCAGGAGGCTTCTGGTTCCACCACAGAAGGGTGACTGCTGCCATGAGGAGGGACAGTCAAATTTAGCAAGTGTTGGTTTTTCCTGCTGCTCATTTGCCTCTTTGCCTGCCCAGAGCCTGGCTGTGCTTCTGTCCCTGGGGAAGTGACAAGTCCCAGCCACTTGCTTGTGGATTCAGTGCAGGGCCTCTCTGCTCGTGGATGTGTTTGGAGTTTGCCTGTCAACATTTCTTTCAGCTAAAAGCGTTTGGAGTGAGTGGCATAGCAAGTGGTCTGGAGCTATCAGCCTCCTGCATGCAGGGTCGCTGGACTGGCCC